CACTTGGTAAACACTGTGTTAGCTTCTTACCTACAAAATGTACACCTTTATTACCGTTATGTAGACGACACATTCATCGTCGTTGACACACCTGAACAGGCGGCGCACTTACTGAAACTGATGAATATGTGCCATCCAGCCATCAAGTTCACAATGGAAAACGAGTCCGACGGATCTTTCCACTTCTTAGATGTTAACTTACAGAGAATGCCATATGGTACATTCGTCCGATCTGTGTACAGAAAAGCAACATGGACGGGGCAATACTTGAACTTCAATAGCTTTTGCCCAATGAACTATAAACGAGCTCTAGTACGTACTTTTGCTATAGCTCGCCAAATTTGCTCATTAGACACAATCGAACATGAACTATAACGAGTCACCTTGACGCTACAAGAGAATGGGTATCCAGCGCGATTTATAACTCGGCGCGCGAAAATACGATCCGGAGATAAACCACCAACCGATGTCCCAAAGAAAAAATATTCATTACACTGCCCTTCAAAGGAGATCAAGTTGACCGAAGATGCAGGCATCGCCTCCGTCAATCAATTAAGAAGTGTTACCATGCGGCTGAGCTAGTGGTATTGCATCAATTCAGAAGGCTGCTCTGTAAATCCAACCTGGACAGACTGGACTCTCAAGTTACCGCCTCATACATTTACTTCTTTAATTGTACTTGCGGTAGTAAGTATATTGGCCGAACTGAGAGAAGGCTGTCAGCGAGGATTGCAGAGCATGTTCCGCGAAACATGATCGCTAAGGGTCCGAAGCTACTGACTAGCTCTATTGCACGCCACCTACTTGACTGCCCTGAATGCCAGAACACACGTGGCAATTTCAGGGTATTTAGCATACAGGCTAATCCCCGTTTACTACAGTTTGCGGAGGCGGCAGCAATTCGGCGGCTGAAGCCAAATCTATGCAAGCAATCGGATTTCGTGACCACGGTAGCCCTACCCTGGTGAGGCTAGTGCTTGCGTATTCCTCGGAAAAGGTCACGTGGGCCAAAAGACCTTCGACAGCTTTGGATTTTTGCTGTTAACATCGCACTCTTTTCCACTCATTGTATGCAAACAGCTGAGGAGAATCCGCGAAATTGCTGAATTCAGCAAATTCTGTTAAAATGTTGTTTCTTCTTGCTTTTTGAAAATGTTGGTGTATTACTTGTATCACAGGTCGACGACCCGATCGTTTGGGATTCGTTCACTCAGTAGGATTGTTTCTGCCGTTGTCTTTTTCAAGTAACTGCGTGACGAAAGTTGGGATAAGTCTGTTGAGTGAAGAACTAGTAAATGGCAGAAGCACAAAGGAATGATTAGTCGATTATCGATTTCTAATGGTTTCTGTATTACTAATGAATTTTCCTTCAAACAATTTCTTGATGCTCTGGCCACCGCAGAGGATAATAAACGGTGCCCTATCTGCTGCATCGAGCAGGGTGGATAGGGGTTTAGATGCTACTGCTCAAGCCTTCCCGTCTTCTTATTCCCCCTCTTACGCTTTTTCACTCTTAACGTCCCATTCCAACTTCACTTATATCCCCCCAGTTTTCAACCCCTCGATTCTTGGCCCTCCCCCAACATGCTTTGCTAGGCATTTACCTTCTAATTTCAACTCACACGTGAACGCGGAGCGTCACTCCTCTCCTGTCGACAAGCCCATGTCCAACCAAGCGGTCCAATCCAGTTCATCGGCTTCCATTTGGAGCCCTCGATCCTCCTTCAGATTGGCATGCCTCAATGTACGCACACTGCTACAAATCGGTCAACAGGCAGCACTTGCCCGAACATTGGAGACCCTCTCGATCGATATCTGCTGCTTATCAGAGACTCGCCTGCAAGACTCGAGCACTGTGCTCACTCTGCGATCCCCTTCAGGGGACGCAAGCAGTATTTTCTCCTTGCGCCTATCCGGTGACGATGCAGCTTCGAGCACCGGCCAAGCCGGTGTTGGTATTGCCCTGAGTCCCCGGGCTGAAGCTGTTCTGGTTGATTGGATTCCAATCAGTAGCCGGATGTGTGCGGTCCGATTGGCTGGCTCGTTTAAAGCTTCGAAGTCGCGCGGGACTAATAGATGTCTATTCATCATCGCTGCCTATGCGCCCACAAACTGTAGCGATGATTCGATAAAGAACGACTTCTACCGCCAACTGACCCAGCTCCTTCGCCACAGAAGAAGCACGGGCACTGTTGTGCTGGCGGGGGATATGAACGCACAAGTTGGAAAGTTGTTCACAGATGAACTGCATCTGGGTGGTCAACACGGTGTAGGCTCCCGTAATGATAACGGTGAGCGGTTACTTCATTTGTGTGAAGATGCTCGCTTATTTCTTGCGAGCACTAATTTCCGACACAGCACCCGCCGAAGGGTGACTTGGCGCCCACCAGCCTCGAACCAGCTATGGACGCAAATCGATCGCATTGCTATCAGTTACCGCTGGAGAGGCTGCATCCAGAATTGTCGCTCGATTTGGAGCACATGTATGGACACCGATCATGCACTTGTATGTGCTGACATGCGGATGCGTTTTGGCGGACGCCCACGACGACGCTGTGAGCGTATTGACACCAGCCAACTGACAAAACCAGCTGTTCTGAATGCGTATCGAAGTACGCTAACATGCGAGTTGAGCAAGCGCTCACAGGAGACAATTGATGGTCACTGGTCACATGTTCGCCAGACCTTACTAGCAGCAGGCAAATCCTCATGTGGTATGTCTAATAGACAACATGGACATTGGGTCTCTTCGCAGTCTCTGGAACTTATAGATGCTCGCCGGCAAATCCCGGCTGGAAGCGAACACAATGAAACTCGCAAAGAGCTCCGTGCGAAACTCCGTGCTAGCCTGAAGAGAGACCGCGAATCTTGGTGGTCTCATCGTGCGTCAGAGATGGAAGTGGCCGCTGCCCTTGGCAACCATCGTAAGTTATTCCGTCTGATACGGGAAACGGGCAGCAGGAGACCTGGTGTTAGTGAAACAATTTGTGACGAGAATGGAAATCCTATCCACAATTTGTCAAAACGTCTGGAGCGTTGGGCTGAGCATTTTGAAAAGCAATTTAATCGGCAAGAATTGTTCGATTCGCCGGTCACTGATCGCCCCGCTCCGTGGGCTGTCCCTTTGGATCCACCCTCTCGCTCAGAAGTCGAACGTGAGATCGGACTGTTGAAGTTGAACAAAGCCGCGGGACCAGATGATCTTCCTCCAGCCCTCTTCAAATTTGGAGGCTCTGCTCTTGTTGATGCTTTGCATGAATTACTAGTGAAACTGTGGGAGCAGGAAACTGTCCCAACCGACTGGAGCCGCTCCGTTATTGTTCCCATCTTCAAAGGCGGCTCGCGCTCGGAATGCGGCAACCATAGAGGAATCAGTCTGATCTCCATCGCCTCCAAATTACTCACGTCCATAATTCTCCACAGACTGACTGGCGCTCGTGAAAGCCAGATTCGTGAGGAGCAAGCCGGGTTTCGTCGGGGTCGTGGCTGCATCGACCACATCTTCACCTTGCGTCAGTTGTTGGAGCACCGTCACACATATTGGCGGCCCACCGTAGTCGTGTTCCTCGACATCAAAGGTGCCTTCGATTCGGTTGATCGATGTGCCCTTTGGAATTGTCTACTCAGGAAAGGTGTGCCCTGAGAAATATGTAAATATTATCCAAGCATTATATGCGCGTAGCACGGGCAGAGTAAGGGCTTACAGCAGGCTGTCGCCACCCTTCAATATCTCCAGCGGTGTGAGACAAGGATGCCCGCTGTCACCTTTCCTATTCAACTTCGCTATTGACGAAGTCATGGAGATTGTATTTACAGGACATGACTTGGAAGGTGTGGAGCTACTCCCAGGAGAACGACTTCTTGACTTGGAGTATGCAGACGACATTGCCCTCATCTGTGACAGCTCCGAGACGTGTCAAGCCGCGCTGGACAGATTAGCACTGGCTGTCAGTCGCTTCGGGCTTTGCTTTGCACCACCGAAGTGCAAAGCGTTCCTCCAGGATTGGCAGGGTTCGCCCCCTGTGCTGATCCTTGGTGGGGATCAGCTAGAAGTCGTTCAGAAATTCAATTACCTGGGAAGTTGTATCAGCGCCCTTGGGATCGAAGACGAGATCACGAACCGCATAACGAAAGCTCGAAGTGCTTTTGCTAACCTTCGCCACCTATGGCGACGGCGCGACATTACTCTCGCCCTGAAGGGTAGAGTGTACAATGCAGCGGTACGTTCGACCCAACTGTACGGTTGCGAAACCTGGCCCCTAAGATCGGCGGACATGAAGAGGCTACTCACGTTCGACCATCGGTGCCTTCGCAGTTTGGCTCACATTTGGTGGGAACACCGCGTGAGTAACGAGCGTGTTCGACGCCTTGTTTACGGCCTAGGAAAAGGGAATGAACCGCTCAGCACCGTCATTTCACTCACCAGGCTCCGATGTCTGGGCCACGTGTTGCGCATGCCAGCCCACCGACTCCCTAGACGTGCGTTGTTTGCTCACCGAGGATGTGGGTGGAAGAAGAGGAGAGGTGGCCAAGCGATGACTTGGTCCAGAGGAATGAAATCCCTCACTTCGGAGCTAGCCTCGATTGGAGCTTCACGGCTCCCTGGTTGGGGTCCAAAAGACGGTGAACACGTTTGGCTGGATACACTTGCTGACATGGCAAGGAGCCGACCTCAGTGGCGTTCGTGCTGTGAGTTACTTTGTCCCTCCCCATCCCTTTAGCCTCCCCCTCCATCTACGATCTTATTTCGTAGGGTAAAACGTAGTTACATTTTTCTTTTTGCCTAGTAGCTGGCTGGTAGCTTACCGGAACGATGCCTATCCGTTGCTGGTAGCTCAGCTGGCATGCAGCTGTCGTATTTATTTTTGCTTTATGTATTGTATGTATGTATTTCCTTTATGTATTGCGGTACAATAGCGGAGGTGTTTTACCATCTCTAGCTGACATGTATAATGATGATGATGATGATGAATGAGTAGACGAATTTAAGTATGCTTTTATTTGTTTCATGGCAATTAGATTACGAGCCCCAAAGTTAAGGTGCCAATCCGGGAAAGCACCAGGTCGTTTCGCCCTAATGGGCTCGTTAGTGGTGCGCATTCGCTCGCTCCATATGATGTTTGTACCGTCGCACCCTTGCATGAAATAGCTATGTTTGGCACCCTCACTTGTTCACAGCTGGATAGGAGATTGTCTTTCTCTTCTGGTCCGTTTCCAACAGATACGTTTGACGTACTCATCGTTTCTGTTTCGTAAATTCCATTGTATATCCTTGTCTTCCACAGTATCGTGTGTTAATTGTTTTTCTTTTATCTCACTTGTTATTAGGCCACCGATTGTGAAAGTCGTTTTGAATCCGATGAAGCGTTAAAGTTTTACAATCGGGCTCTGAAGCGCCTCGAGCAGGAGCGCACAGTGAATTCGTCAACGGGAACTGTTGCGCCCGATACGAAGTACTATAAAGTTCTACAGTCATCCGCTTTCAATCTGCTGGAACTGGGACGAACGGGCAAAGCGAAGGAGGTTAGCGATCACACCACGTGTTACGTGTTGTAGAGTTCTCTGTGCAGGAATCATATACTTTGATTTCTATTCATTCGGATATCATTTTTTTCTATGTGACACATCGTTTTTAGCCTACTCTCAACCTTGGTATCATCGCGCAGTGCAACTTCATTGCTACAGTAGTTTAGAAACTTCTTTTTCTGGTACACCGAGTAATCACATTTTTGTTGTTATTTTCATTCTACTTTGACTTTCCATGGGAGGCCTTTTCTCAACATTAATTGTTCATCAACTGTCGAAAATTCGTTACCGTATTTGCAACTCGGTATGCCCTGTCATAGAAAAATCTCCGTCTCGTCCGTTTTCAACAGACTTTCCCTGTGTTGTGGTTACGGTTTTGGTGACTGAAGATCTCCATGGTACTAATAAGTTTCTTCAAAAGGTGTGAACATCGCGCGGAATTTGCACCTAGTGGTGCTTGTCTTTGGAGTGTCTGAAACATTTGATTACATTACATGACATGCGCCGAGGATAGTTTATTCGGCAAGGACCCCACTCCTTGCGAGCCGCCCTATCCGTCTCCTGGTCACTACTTGGCTTTTCATTACAGGAAAAACGGACGGGTTTTGATGACTTCTTGTACACGGTCTTTATCATTAGGACGCCGGACATTAACTCTCTTCGGTGGTTTTCTTTCCCTTATAATAATAATAATAATAATAATAATAATAAATGGTATATTGCACGATTGTACGAGATACAGTCCAACCGAGTCATTTGATCATTCGATATGACAGGATCATAAGTTTTCCAGAGCAATTCCCAGATAGATTTGGTTGTGTTCGATCACTGAAGAAGAGCATGACAGAGAAGATAAGAGTAGAATTAAAGTGGTTGTTGCAATAAGTTTAAGTGTATTGATACAGCTATCAGTTGAATCGTCTCCTGGGGACTTGGTTCCACGCAAAGTAGTCCCTCGAACGGTTTTATTCACACTTTACGCTTCTTCTGGTCTTGTGACAATGTGGCATAACATCGAGTACACCATTTTCGTACTAGCTCAACTTTAGTGCCGTTTTTATGTTGTGGGAGAAGAGGGTTCTTTTTTCATCGTTTGTACTCACTCGACCCGTTTCAACATCCGACTCTTTTGGGGTACGGCAGTTCTGTTACTCGCCAGTCGATCTGTGCCGTTTCCCCTCGCGTGGGTGTATTGATTACTTCGGAAAAATCACTCCAATCGTAGCCAACTGTAGAACAGGAGAATTATAGAAATATGGCGAAACAAAATAGCGATAAATAAGTGCCATATGTCCGATGAGTTCTGCTTTACTTTGTACGTAAGAGTTAGAAAACAATTGCAAAGATCGCTCTCTGTATGAGTTTGTGATGAATCCAACGACTTCAGTCCATCGAGCAGTAGAGTCATCGATATCTTACATTGGTGTTGTGGTATCTTTCTATCATTGGTTATCAACCAAACTCAATGTGAGTGTACCTCTCTCACCGGATGTGAGTGGGTTGTGGTTGGGGATTAAATGCTAATTGCCCTTAGGGTGTTATTGGCTTATGTTGATCTGAACAAACACCGAGCTCCACGGTTTGCACATTGCGGCTTGTTAGTGCATCATTCCTCAGTAACTTGCTAACGTCGAAGTAGCCTGCAAATCCAAAGACTGGACGGCGATCCAAATTGGTTATTCCAGAACATTGCCATATAATACTGTACATAAATTTAAACCATCACTCACTGAAACACACTTTCAGTGGCTGATTCTTGCTGACTGTCTGCCTGAGCCCATTTGTTCACGCTCATCGTTCCTTCACAACTGTTTGCGCCATTCCTGGTCGATTCATTCCGTCCTTGCAAATGTGTGCAGCTTATTGTGTCGGCGGCTTTCCATCTACCCACCATGTCTGTTTCTCTCACCCGGTCTATCAGCTGTCATGACGCAAATCAGCATCTGATCCGAATCGGTATTGCGTGCGGTCAAATCGTATGTCTTGGACCGGTACCAAACGCGTGCCCAACTCACAACGCTGCAACCAAATCCGCTTGTTGCCTGAGCCCGTTTAAACATGGTAGATCCCTTGAATTCGTTTCCGCTGTGCCAAGCGTTGCTCGCGGATCTCAGTGGCATAGTGTTCATTGCGTCAGCCGTGAACCACTGGGCTCTGAGCTCCACCCCATCTAAGGTGACCACAACCTGATGAGTCCAAACCAGGACGAAACCGCGGTTATGGTGTATCAGTTTTGGGAGGAGCAACACCGAATTATTTCCATTTCGAATGTGGTCCTTGCGGTCAGAATGACCGAGGTCTACCTCAAAGTGAACCGACGTCTCAGTAGGGGTTGCGTGTCGCAATCCAACCACACAGGGTGTTCTCCAAATCCAACTTTGAATTCATTTCCGCTGTGCCAAGTGTTGCTCACGCATCTCAGAGGCATAATTATCAGCATTTTAGCCGTGAACCACTGGGCTCTGTATTCCACTCCAACTCAGGCCACCCCCACCTTCTGAGTCCAAACCAGGACGAAACCGCGGTCGTAGGGTGCCAGTGTTGGGAGGAGTAACACCGAATTATTTCCATGGTAGATTTGTGCTCTTGATACTTATTGGTTTTCTCCTCCTCTGGTCACGCGTCGGTTTCGTTTGCGTGACTTGCCAGCCAACACCACACACACACCTCAGCTTCAATAGGCACGCACCCGTTAATGTTCACTTGAAGTTGGTTGTGTTCATCAGTGCATAACATACGTCGGCCGAAATAGCATATGAATTGTTTTGCTTTTTCCAAGACTGCGTGTGACAGTTTTTAAGCAGTTCCATGTGATTCTACTGTCACGTTTCCGAACGGGACTTGTTCCCATCATTTCGATGTCTGTCGCTCGCTTGGAGTGCCTCGGGCAAATCTCTATTCATTTCACTAGTTTGTAGGTCATACTCTCGAACCATATCCTAAAGATTGATGCTTTCGAACAAATACTTCTCGGAATTAACAACCAGTGTTTCGTTTACCTACTCCGCACCGTTACCGGGGCTCTTGTTTCTATCTTTCATTCTCATTTACAATTCTATTGGTCCAAAGTCATACGATAGGAAACTGTCGCTGGTTTTACGGCTGACGCCAGCAGTATGAATGAATAGTCGCTCAACCCAAGCCTCCTATTTCACGCTGTTTTCTTCAACCTATACACTCTAGGTCGGATTGATCAACCGATACTACGTCCCCTCTTCACTGTTTTGGTATCATTATGTGCTGTGTCCCTTAAGCGCGGATTACAGAGAGCTTTTCGATTAACGAGCTCATGATCGACTGAAAATGAGTTTGTTTCTCTCACTTTAGGTTTTTCCGGTTTCGGTGTTCACTTTATTGCCAATCCCGAAGATAATCTACTTGTATATGTTCCACTTAATAGTGGCATATGTGCGGTTCGATTTCCGCTTCTTTTAGTAGTTACCAGGCATCATCTGAACTGACGTTGTTTATTCGTTACGTATGAAAATTGGACCTCAACGAAGGTGAATTCTGTGGGTGGTTCTAAACCCCCATCCGTGGGACGCAGGATGCGAATGTAATTCTCTGTTGGTGACATGAATACCCGATTGGAGCGCCTGCCTTACTTCGATCATCATCTAACAGTCTATTTCGACGACAGCTCATGCCAGATAAATAATGGCGTGGTTTTTTTGATTGCTCACGAGACATGACCTTACAAGTATCTGCAATGTTTTCCCACGCGACTGTTCGTATTGAACTCTCTGGCATCCACCGATTTCCACGGTATTTTAAACCTCACTTGACTACATTGCCATCAGCTCTGCATGGCACTCACCAGTTCGGAATTGTCGATTCAGCTTCCGCAATTGCATTTCCGTCACGCTCTTGTGCTCACATGTATGGAACTCACTCTCTCCCGGTTCCAGGGAACTGACCAATATCGGTTTCTCACTCATCAACTGGACCCACAATATGCAATTCAGCAATATTACGACGGATTGGCTTGTCACTTGTGACTGCTGACAAATAAGGCTCACGTGCTCAAATTTCAACTGGTCGTATCAAACATGCCATAGAGAGTACTTTGGAAGCTGCTTATCCACCCAACTTGTGACGTCTGAACCATGGATGAAATTACTAAACTTCTGTTTGTTCAGTCGAAACATTTAGTTTAGTTCCGTTGGATATCCAGTTTTGTCAAGTGGTAGAAAAACCATATGCATGCATACGACTTGCCACAGTAGCCTTCCTTTTACTCATGAACCGTCTTCAGGCCGTTTCATCCTTCCGAATTATGGTACTGTCTATCTCTGAAGAGATTTTCATGGAAGTTCCTTTCTGTCCTAGAAAGTCCATATGTCACCACTCCTGATATTGTAAAATTATACACCATAGTTGCGCCACAAACTTTTGATCGAACTGACCATAAATGATTACATTCTTTTATTCTCATGTGGACTACCGACCGAATGCGCATACCCTCATCATTATTTTTGAGTCGGATCAAGTTGCTATACGGGCACCTTGGGATGAGCCGATACGGAACGCTAAACGCTTCGGTATTTCCCTCGTGTTTCTAAAGCCTAAAGCATCGCTACAGGACTGCGTGGAACCACCAACATTTCTAGTTGTGGTAGATCAACAGCTGGCGGTGGTTGATCAGTTCACTTAATAGCCTTGAGGTTTTATCACCTCTTTCAGTACTGCCACTATCTATTTGCTACACCTATCAGCGATTCCCGTGAGACTTTCCGGTTGAACTCAACTACAGTGATGATTGAAGACATCAGCCTGTCACTCAAAGGTAGGGCGTGTAACGCTGTAAAAATAACGGGTATTACTGTGTGAACTGGCCGGCCCGTAGCCTTAAGAATCACAAGCCTGCCTTGTAATTCGAGAGCGCGGGTTCGAGCCTGCGTAAGGACTTGGTGACTCACAGTATCCCTAGCCCGCTTGCGACTGGTGATGGTTGCGCGACAGCAAAGTTTCGGTACTGCGAACAGGCGTACTGCTTA